GGGGGGGTGGGGGGGAGATGGAAAGTTTGAGTACTTGAGTAAACGCGTCTGAATCGCGTGTGCACACACACCCACGCCCCCCCCCTCTCTCCGTATAGAAAGGGTTACTACACACAAAAGAGTTGGAGAAGGAAATTTCTCTGCACGAATAACAAAGGTCATGTAAGATCAAAAGATCAAAAGGGTATATATATTCTCTCCTCCTTCTACATCTCTCTACAATTCTTTACTTTATTTTTTTTCGCACATGTGCGTTTAAATCTTAGCACCATGCACAAACAACCTCGTTCCATGCGTAGGCTTGTGTTCCTTCTCACCGGCCTCACCTGCGCGACCACCAAACACGAGTTGGGCACGGAGTTTCCAGTCCAAGGGGATCTTCCAGTGCTCGGCGGCCTTGGGGTCGACGACGGGGTTGTAGTGCTGGAGGTTTGCGCCGAAGCCTTCGGCTTCGAGGGCGACCCAGAGGGCGAATTGGTGCATGGCGTTTGTTTGCTCGGACCAGTCGCCGAAGTGGTGGGCGTAGGGGGCTGTTGAGGGTTAGTATGGGAGGTTGGGTGAATGGGGGAGGTGGGGGAGGGGAACGTACGGAAGGCTTTGCGGAGGGCTTCGACGGGCTCGGGGTCTTCGTAGAAGAGAATCTGGGGTTTTGTTAGTCTATGTTTTTGTGCTTCTTGATGCTTCCGGTATAAGACCGCGCAATTGGTGGTTGGGGACGATGCTTGGGTCTTGTATGGTGGGGCAGTACAGCCCTTGCATACATCTCAAGACCTCCACAGCGACGACGATATAAGAAGAGAAGGGATACATACTGTTCCGTAGCCAGCCTTGAATCCTCCAACTCTTTCTTGGGTTCCGGCGAACTTATCCTCGGGGGTAAGAGGCTTTAAGACCTCGAGGACGTAGTCCCAGAACTGGTCGTGGTCCTTGTTCAACAGCACAACGAGACGGGTGCTCTGAGAGTTAAAGGATGAAGGAACATTAAGCAGAGCCAGCTCTGCGAGTTCGGTAATCCTCTTGTCTGAGACGGGCGATTCCTTGTTGAGTTCATAGATTGTGCGACGCTCCTTGATGGCGTCGAGGAAGGACTTTGAAGCAGCCATGAGGGGCGATTTTGTTGAAAAGGCTGAAGAGGAAGAAGAGGTAAGCTTGCTCGGTGTAGTGGAAGAGGGAATTGAGGACAATGGTGTCAAATAGAGGGGCGAGGCCACGCTCTTGTATCCCCCGCCGACCCACGCACGATACCTGGCAGCGCGCAGGGTATTGCTCAGCCTCTGCGCCATGGACTCGGATAGTTGAAGTGGGGAATCCGTAGAAAGACGGTTTTCGGAAATCTCTTGGTCCGGTATTTGGAATCCAGTAGATGCTAGTATATTCTGCAGCAGCAAGGCAAGTAGCAAGCCCGATAACAGGCCGATGAACAATGAGCGAGCAGCTAAAACGGCCATGGCATGACGTGATCAGTTGGGGTTTGTACGATTGGCACAAGCAACTGCAGATGCCTTTAGTTAATACTACGATACATACGCGAAGGTTTCATATGCCATCTCACCGCCTAATGTTGCCATCGAAGTCGGCATGTAGTTGTGTCGGGCTGCCGAGGCGATTTACAATCCATCTGTCAGCTGTAGTAATTGAAGCGCGCACCAATTCCGCGCGAGGCTGACATCAACCCCACAACCGCTGAGGCTTACACATCATGTTTCACTTCTGATACTCGACGTCCCACAACAGCCCCGCGTACAACGTGCAAATATGTCGGTCAAGTCACACTAGGCGAACAGGAAACCGATAGATCTACTTTTTGTTTGACAATTACATGGCTATGCCAGTACACCACAAAGCTTTCAAGTTACGAGAACCCGTCTCGCAGAGCGCTACTCTAAATTATGATTCTAGCAGCATTGGCCAAGACTTTTTCTGATAGAACCTTTTGATAGTGTTTCCTATATAACACTTTGTCTGGTAGCCACCGGAATCACGCACCGAAAACAATTCAAACACCCTTTTGCTCACCCTGCTCATGTGGACCTTGATGGGCCATCTTCTCGGTCGTGTCCCGGGAGGATCCGTTTGCATAGCCTCCACGTAGATGATGAGGAACCCATTTGGACGAAGTACGCGGTGTAGTCTCCTCGAGCATGCGATCAACTTGCTCAAGAGAGAGACCTTTTGTCTCGGGTACAAGGAAATAGGCAAAAACAACGCAGGCAGTACACGTGGCACCCCAAACGAAGAAAACATTTGCCTTAAGATTTCCGTAATTCTCATCGACCATGTAGGGAGTAATGAAGCCGATGATGAAGTTCCAGAACCACTGTTCAAGTTAGCGTTGCTTCGTTTAAATAACGTATACGACAATACTACTTACGTTGCTAGCCGTAGAGAGAGCAACGCCCTTGGCACGAATGGGCAGAGGAAAAATTTCTCCAATGACTACCCAGGCTGCTGGTCCCCAGGTTGACGCGAAGAAGAAGATGTAGAAACAGGTGAAGACGATCAGACATATTCCAGCAGCCTTGCTGCCTTCATCGACTGTGCCGACAATGGCAATGACGAACTCGCAGACGAGCATTCCAATGGCACCAGAGATGAGAAGCATGCGGCGGCCAAATTTCTCGATAGTCCAGAAGGAGAGAGGGGTAGATCCGACGTTGACTGCAGTGGTGATCATGGAGATGAGGAAAGCGTTCTCGAGTCCGACGGTCTTGAAGAAGGTCGACCCGTAGTAGAAGACTAATCAGGCGTTAGGGTAATCCATCGTACTTGATGTGTATGACTTACTGAAATTGACGCCAGTCCACTGCTGCATCATCTGAAGCGCCATTCCCAACACGACGCGACGGAGATTGCTAGACGGCTTCCATCCGCCATGAAAGCAATCAGCCCAGCCTGCGCGCATATTACGCATTTCATAGTCGTGATTGTCAGTTAGCTCTTTAAGCTCATCAATGATGTACCTTAATTCGAAATGTTGTCCACGGAGAGTTCCAAGAGCACGTGCAGCATCCTGGGTACGACCTTTCTTGACGTACCAGCGAGGCGACTCAGGAAGCAAGAAAAGCCCGGTACCCAAGACACAAGCAAACAGCCACTGAAGAGCCATGGGGATTCGGTAAGAGCCCGAGTCCATACGATCCTTGGTCGCGTTATCCATAACCGATGCAAGAAGTAAGCCGATTGTGATGCAGAACTGGTATCCAGATACAATGGCGCCGCGGAAGCGCTTCGGGGCCACCTCCGACATGTATAGGATGATGATGGCAGAGACAAATCCGATACCAAAGCCGGCAATCAAGCGACCAGGAACGAGCAGAGCGACGGTAGTAGAAGCGACTTGGAATATGACTCCGACGGAAAAGATGGCACATCCCACAATGACAGTAGAGCGACGGCCAATCCAGTCAGCCACAGAGCCTGCAGCCAGTGCGCCAAAGAAGGTACCAGTGGAGAGAATGGAGACAATAAGAGACTTCTCCCATGTCTTGTAGAGGAGATTGTTGTATGCATCTTTGTCGTGTGAAGGGCCTGATCATATGCTTAGTATATAGACAACATATCAAGCCCCCTCAAAAGTTAGCACCGGGTTTGGACTGGACTTACTCCCAAACTGCTGCTTGAAGAACGACATCCCAAGCACTCCATTGATATACCCGGAGTCATAACCGAACAGAATGCCACCAAAGGCTGCGAAGACGCAGAGGAGATATCCTCGAAGCGTGACGGGTGCTTCGACGCGGTCGTGTGTCATGATGCGTACTGCTTGCTTTCTCAAATAGTGTGGCAGCTTTGGATCGAATTGTAGGTGCTAGAGTTGAACTCGAACGCGCCGTGAGATGGAGTAACGAGCGAAGTGTAGTGAGAAGAGTTATTCTGTCTTGGTGCGATTGGTGAGATATATAGTACACTGACTGATGAGAAAAAAAGGGTTTGTGTGGCAAACGAAATAGGAAAGAGCAGACGGAAGCGACGAGTGAGTGATTGATTGCTTGGCATGGATGTGAGCGCGCAGCTACAGTAGTCTGGAGTGAAACCGCGATAAGAAACAAAACATGACTTGACCTGGTACGAAATACAGAGTTGCGGAGTGATGGCTTAGAAGCGTGCTCGAGATGGACTCGCAGGGCACAAAGCGTGGAGGATATCCAAATTTGTGATAATATACCAAATGACAGAAAGGCAATTTGAAGAAAAGCTGCCGTAATAAGTCCAAGCACCCGGGCCAAGTAGTATGGTAGCGATTGCAAAACGTGGTACCAGGTATCAAACGGAAAGATTCGGACGTGCTCGTCTGACAACCCCGGAGAAAAAAGGGTATACAAAGTCAACCAAGGGAGCGATTAGCACATAATGCAAACGAGACTAAGTCAAAAACCCGTAGAACGTAATTCAACTTCTCGCAGCACCCTGCCGCATCGCCTCACTATAACTCGGCGGCGGCGCTTCGTCCTCACTTGAACTCCTCCTCCTATGATGGTGCTGTGGTTCAGACTGCTGTCCATGACGGGCCTCATCCAGTGCTCTCTGCGCATCCGCACGCTTCTTCTGCATCTGCTCCTGCTGCTGCCTAGTAGTCATTGGCGGCGGGGGTGCAGATGACGAAGTGCCATATATTGCTTCGTGTTGCTTCCAAGATGTCAGTATGCTATGTATAAAGCGCGAGTCTATGGACTGGGGATAATGTATACAGCAATGGCTTTCTTCTCTTTTCGTTCGAGTCTTTTCTCGGAGATTGTGCGGCCGAGTTTTTCGGCGCCTAGACCGATGCTGATGGCGATGAGACCGGCCATGGTGGGTTAGGTTGATATGGTTCGATGGGGGGTAAGATAATAGAATTTCCGTGGAATAGATTGCGAGATGTTGATGTATAGGAACCCTGTTGAGGTGGCAAGGTGGGCTATGAGTACGTAAGCGGATGCTGCACCTGCTCCCTGCCAAAATGGGATGAGCAAACTGTTAAAACAGATGATAGAGGTATGTTACTGACTGGTGGATATCTAGTGATATGAAAATATTATGACGGATTAAGGTTTGCGCCTTGATATGTGATATTGACCACGTCTTCCTAGCATACACTTATTTGTGATTCGGAACTCTTCGGATTATGGCGAGCAGTACCATACAACAGTATTACCGTCTTTATTGATGTTTATACCAACAGCTGCCCGTTCCTGCCGTTATGTACAAATCACATGCAGGTAGTGGTGACGTATGATAGGTGTGGCGCAGCACGCGATGTTCTAATTGGTTAATGCACGGCTGGTGGCGAGAGCGAGGCAAGTGCGATAGAGTATGTTGTGGGAGGCACATTCTGCATCGTTTCATGCAAGACCGGAGGTAGGATTCCCTATCATATTGCGGTCGAATGTGCCGATTAGGGGCTATTGGTGTGATTTGTCAATAGGAAGACACCATTCAGACGAGTAGTATTACTATGTAACTTTGATAGCATGCATCGCAGCCCCCACTTTTCTTTTCTCTATGTGCTGGGGGGTCTAGGCAGCAAATGCGTATGCCTTGTTGATATTGCTAGTGATAGCTGGTTTTCCAGGTGGGAAGAGAATATTGCCATTGGCCACACGCAAGGCAAGAGACTCATGCCTCTCTGTTAAGATTGGGCTATTTACAGTTTCTTTCTCTCCTCGGTTATTGTTGCTGCCAGTTTCTTCTCTACTTTAGTTGCCAACTCCTCCAGCGCTAACATCTTCCTTCCTGCCTTTTTGCCCTCCTCTACTAAACCCTTTATGTACTCCAGGTCCTGTTGTACTACCTTACCTCCATGATGAAAAGATTGAAACTCATGCATTGGAAAAGGCGCTGCCAGATCCGCCAAAGGTCGAAACAGGTACTTCTCAGTGACCCATGACCCAATCAACCACCGTAGCACCCACCCGAGCCAGCCGAATTTAGGCAAGGAGAAGACGTCTCTTTGAGCACGCACCATAAGCTCCCAAGGCATTGTGTTTGAACGAAATTGATCAAGCGGATGGAAACCATCGACGAACCACGCAGTCGTTTGTACCATGGCCACGTCAATGTATGCTTCGAGGAATCCAGGTACAGTCAAGACTTTGAGCCTGCCATCATGAGAATAAACCTCAGAGAGTTTTTCGTCGAGATGTGCTTTGGACTTGAACGCTATGAGCCCGATGCCTCCAGCATGGGGTCTATATAGCATGTCTGCCTGGGATATTACGGCCTTGTCTGCACGTTCTGGGAAGGAGATCTTGGTTGTTGGCTGGTGAGCAAGCATGCTGAGAGCGAGCATGTGCCTGTCCTTTGGAATTCCCATTGTGTCTGCGTAAAAGTCTAGCATCCCGGGACCAGCAACATTGTGAACAAGAAACGACGATGTTCCTCGAATCATGTCGCCAACGGAGCGCAGCGTAGCAGCACCACTTTCGGAGCGTGCAGTATGCATATCAAGTGTGTTGAATACAAGGAAGAACTCTGTGTTTTGTACTTCGGCTGTTGACTCGATGACTCGGTAGTCGGAGAAGGTATGCAGCGTGTCTTCCTCGTAGTTATAGATCTTCTTTGGCGGGAGGGAGGCAGACTTCCGACCAGGTCGAACGAGGAAAGTCACTTCATTTCCAGCAGAAAATTGGTAGCCATGAGTAAGGCCTGTCGCACCACAACCGATAACGAGGACTTTTGGTTTGGCCATGCTGAGTGAGAGAGCGGAAGCTTGAATCAAGCACAAGAGTAATTAGTGAAAAAAAACAGAACTTAATATGTGGTGAGGTCTACCTTGAATATTGATATTGCTCTTTATAGAGACTTGATAGAGACTTGATATGTCCGATAAAATTTGTCCGGTAGAATGATATAATGTATCCGACAAAATTTCTCCGACTTCCAGTAAGATAGTGTAAGCACTGATTAAACCGCCAACCTGTCAGTAATAGGCCCTACTCAGCTTAACGTTAAGCACCAGCTCAACGTCAATCTTGGTCACCCCCCCCAACCAATTTGACTGAATTTTTCTCTTTCAAAAAACGTGATAACGCTTTGAAACTCAAGCGCAGATTAAATAGTTTTCATACAAACATATGCGTAGTAGCAGACTACAATCATATACCTTGTAGTAGGCTCTAAAAGCGCGTCTTAGGATGAGCCTTGCAAATAAAGTGTGCCGCACTAATTGAAGACTTGATTAATAATAGAAGGACGAAGTTCGGTGCAATTGCATTGCGTCTCCTACCGCTTCACAAAACCAGTGAATTGGCATGACTTGGTAAACAATTACTACACTCTCATCGTATATGGCAAAATATGAACTATAAAGCGTGCAGTATTACTCTAAAATGGATGGGGTAGGCACCTCCTGCTACTCTCTTCCTTAAATCGTCATAACCTTCAAACTCCAACATCGGGTTGCAGACCAATTGAAACACTGCCCGTCATCATGCCCATCCAAGCCATTGTTCAGACCTCCCTCGAGGCTGTTGAATTCATCGACACGCCAATTCCCATACCAAAGCCCGATCAAGTCGTGATCAAAGTAGTCGCCGCAGCTTCCAACCCCAAAGACTGGAAACTGACCGTCTGGTAGCTTTATTCCCAACAAAAGCTCATACAAGCGCGCACACATTAACGAGGGGCTAAAAAATACCTTCAGGCAAAACAAGCCTCACAACTCGGGCGACGACGTTGCCGGCATAGTCCACTCTGTCGGCAGCTCAGTCCGCAACTTCCACCCAGGCGACCGCGTCTTCGCCTACCACCAGCCTCACGCCGCAGATGGAGCATACGCCGAGTACGCTGTTGCGCCCGTACAAACAACCTGCCACTTCCCTCCCACCATGTCGTTTGAAGAAGCATCCACGATCCCCACCGCCGCCTTCACAGCCGCCGTAGGTCTCTTCCTCGGCCTTGACATCCGCGCCCCCTTCCTCCCCGCCCCCTCGCCCTCCTCATCCTCCTCATCCAGCAAAAAGCGCCCCCTCCTCATCTACGGCGTAACCACGGCCGTCGGATCCTTCGCCGCCAAACTCGCCCGCCTCGCCGGCATCCACCCCATCATCGGCATCGCAGGACGCGCTACAAACTACGCCCGCACCCTCGTCGACCACGTCATCGACTACCGCCAAAGCGACGCCGACGTCCTCGCCGCCATCTCGGCAGTACTGCAGCGCGAAGGACTCGGCGAAAAGGTTCCGCTCGTCTTCGACGCCATCTCAGAGCACGGCTCCCTGGAGCGCACCGCGCAGTTCATCGACCCGCACGGCGGCCGAGTGGCGACCGTGTTGCCGCCTGCCATGTTTGCGCGCGACAAAGAGGCGTTTGGGTACCCCGAGGGCGTCGAGGCGCGGTTCATCCGCGCTGCAAGGGTTTTTGGTGAAGACAGGGAGTTTGCGCTTGTGTGGAGTGCGTACATGGGCCTGTTGCTGGAGAGTGGGAGGCTAAAGGGTCATCCTTATGAGGTTGTGCCTGGCGGGCTTAAAGGAGTCATTGCGGGCTTGCAGAATCTACGCGATGGCAAGGCGAGCGGTGTCAAGTATGTGTATAGGATTGAGGAGACTGGTCCGGTGGATTTGGGTTCTGTTGAAAAGGGGAACGAGTGATTGGAAATGTTTCTGGTTAGGCTTCTGGGACACTGGAGAGGGAGGTTAGTAGTGATCTCCACATAGAAGTGTTATGAGTAACATATTGAGAGTAGAAAGATCTTCAAACAAGTTTATATTCTCTTGTGCTATGAGAGAAAAAGAGATTAAATGAAAGTAAAGCTCTTATATAATACTGGTTCTTTTTTACTCTTACTCTAGATTTTTACACACACACAATTTATTTACGCCCGGCGGCCGAGCCGAAAGGGCTGCTAACGCTAGTCTAGCTTTACACTTCCTATGCTCAATCTTGGTCTCCCTAGCCCATATGTCTTCTTTGGCCCACTTCTTTATATAGCTTATCGTCTAATTCTA